ATGGGGGAAAAATGTAGGAAAATAGGTAAAAATGAAGGTATTGGGGGCAAAACGGGAGAAATCGGGTAAAACCCAGCAGGAAATGGGGCAAAAATGGGACGAAGGGGGTAAAAATGAGGGGGAAAGGGGTAAATTGGGGGGTCCCTGATTTAGTCCCCCCTCCCCTTTCTCTCCACAGAGGGTGAATCCATGGAAACGCCGTGACCCCCCCCTCCCCTCCCCCACTTTGTACAATAAACCCGATTTGGAGCCAAATTTGGAGGGATTTGGGGGGGTTTTGGGGCAGTGCCTTTATTGGGGGGTCGGCTCATCCATCACTGAACTGGAAGAAGAGGCGCCGGCGTTGGGGGTCCGGGGGGTCCCCAAAATCTGGCACGAAGGGGATCTTGAGGATTTGGGAGAAGCCCTCGGCGAGGGAGGGGGAGACAAAGTGTTTCCTGGGAAACGGGGGGGGGAAAAACGCAAAGAATTGGGCAAAACGGGGAGGGGGGGAAAAAAAATGGAAGGCAAATCACATAAAATTGGGGGGAAAAAAATGGAATGGGGGAAAATTGAAGGGGGAATAGGGTGAAACCCCCAGGAATGGGGAAAGAGGGAGAGGAGTTGTGGAAAATCCCCTCAGCCCTCCTGGATTCCCACCGGGACCCCCCAGGACCCCCCCAGAGCCCCCTCACCTGTAGCTGAACAGGACGGCGTCGGTGACGGGGACGTGGCCGCTCTGTGTCATGTCCCGGAACTTTTGGGGGTGAAAACCCAAAAATGAGGGTTCGGGGGGTGCTGAGGGGAAACCCCCCCAACTCCCCAGACCCCCTTGGGACCCAGCAACCCCTCCCGAGGGTCCCCCCAAACCCATCCAGACCCTCCCACTACCCCCCAAACTCCCCCAGGATCCCCCAAGACTTACTCAGGAATCCCCAAAACGCCACCAAGGACCCCTCCAGATCCCCCCAAACCCCAGCAGGAACCCCCCAAACCACACCAGGACCCCTCCAGACCCCCCCAGACCCCCCCCACACCCCCCCAGGCCCCCCCCAGGCCCCCCCTGACCCGGCAGTTGTGTCGCGCCTGCTCCAGACTCGCGGTGAACTCGAGGCACCGACACGGCACCGACGCTTCCCGGGCGCAGGACACGAACCTGGGGGGGGACACGGTGGGGTCAGGGGGATCCCCCAAACCTGGGAGGGTCCCACAGCCCCGGGAGGGGCCCCAAAATCCCGGGAAGGAGCAGTTTCCAGAGCCCTCCCAGTAGCTCCCAGTGCCTCACCTCAGTTCCCAGTTCATCCTCCATTAACCCCCAGCACCCTCCCAGTGCACCCCAACACCTCCCAGTGCCCTCCCAGTGCCTCACCTCAGTTCCCAGTTCACCCTCCATTAGCCCCCAGCACCGTCCCAGTGCATCCACTCAGCTCCCAGTGGCTCCCAACACCTCCCAGTGCCCTCCCAGTGCCTCACCTCAATTCCCAGTTTCCCCCCCATCAGTCCCCAGCACCCTCCCAGTGCC